TTTTGTGACCCCCGGTGACCTGACCTCGCTGTGACCTGACCTGGTATCAGTGACCTCAGATAGCAAAGTATGTGTTTGACGAACAATGTACCATCGATGGTTTTCAATAAATTACCAATTTACTCGCTTTCACAGCACATTTCTTGAATTGCCTGTGAACGGTGAAAATATGACCTTTGACCTGACCTGTGACGTCATCGGTTTGACCTAGGTCAATGAAATTTGGTCACAAGGTAGTTTCCGGGTGGGGCTATCGAACGCCGTTTGAATTTTGAAAATCGGCCGGTAACTTTCCGAGATCTTAGGGGGGGCCGAAACGGCCCCCCCCCCCCTACGGGTGGTAGGGTCCGCCGGTAGCCCTACGGGGCGCGGGTTAAGGCGAATCAAAAGACAAACAAGTTCTTCATCACGGCCCGTGACCGATCTTGGACCAAAATGCCTGCACTCGCCCCGCTCGCCAACATGGCAGCCAATAGAGCGCGGCGGCGCCGCTGGATCTACGCAAAACAAATACCAGTACTTCGAAACATGAACAAAGCTTGACGAATCACGCGCTATTGGTATTACAAATAAGGCTCAAAGGCCCAAAGTTCGCAAAATCATAGGCATAGAGTATCAGATACCCACAAAAGAAAAGAAACAAACATTGAAGCCTCAGAGTACTTAGCTCATCCCCGGCACAAGCCCCCCGCCCACCTCTAGGGCGCGGCCGGCGATCAGCTGATCGGCAAGGTCAGCCACCGGCCCAAGGGGGGAGGAGGGATGCGCCGGGGAGGGGAGGGCCGGCCGCCCGCAGGAACAGGCTACTAAACCGCATGGCGCCTACACCGCCCCCTTTGAAGGCACGCGCATTCAACACTGGTCTTAGCCTATTTCAACAACCCTAAACTAACACATGAGACGAGACACGCGCAGTCAAACACAGTCCTAGCGTTCACAATACTCGTTTTCGCACATGAGGACCAGTTTGTTGACAGGGCGGAGTATCTCTGCGCCCTTTGCTCTCAATTTAACACTACGAACCAGGCCATCCTTGCCCGGAAAAGTTTCAATGACGCGGCCCAGGGGCCAGCGGGACCTGGGGAGCTCCCTATCGGCTACCAGGACGACGTCGTTCACCATGAGTGATCTCGTAACACGAAAGGCCTTCTGCCTCTGCTGCAAGAGTGGAATGTATTCTTTGATCCACCTGGACCAAAAAATGCCGGCCAAGTATTGCGCTTGGCGCCACCGTCTCCTCAAGTACAGGTCACCCGCTCCGAATACTCCCACCGGGACGGATAGCGCGCCTCCCGCCAGCAAGAGATGGTTGGGAGTCAGTGGCTGTGGGTCACCGCTATCGCTGGACACGTACGTCAGTGGGCGACTATTTATAATGGACTCGACTTCGCAGAGGAGAGTTGTCAGGGTCTCTTCGGTGAGTACTTGTTCTGTCATCAGTGCATCTAGAACCTTCCGTATGGTACGAATGACTCTCTCCCAGACACCCCCATGTGACGAAGCTTCTGGGACGTTGAAGTTCCACTGAATCTTCCTCTGCAGCAGGTTCTCATGTATGACGTCCTCACTCCTCGAGAGGTGTTCCCATTCTGCTTTCAGTTCATTGTTTGCTCCCACAAAGTTCGTGCCACGATCTGATCGGATGGTCTTAACTTGCCCGCGTCTAGCAAGGAATCGTCTCAGAGCGCAGAGGAACGAATCGGTAGACATCGACTCAGCTACTTCTATGTGTACTGCCCTCGAGACGAGGCACGAGAAAACGATTCCGTACCTTTTCTCCTGTCGTCGTCCCTTCTTGACGTAGAAGACGCCAAACATATCCAGCCCGGTGTTTGTGAATGGTGGCTCATCCGGGGTCACCCTGTCCTCAGGCAGGTTCGCCATCTTCTGGTTCAGGAACGGGCCCTGACGACGACGACAGCTGACACAGCGACTGAGGACGCGTCGGACAGCCGAGTTTCCGCGCAGGATCCAGAATCTCGAGCGCAGCAGCGACAAAGTGTGCTCTCTTCCAGAGTGACCTGCTTCTTCATGGATGCTCTGAATAATCAGATCGACAACATGATGACGTCTGGGGAGGACAGGAGGGTGCACCTGGTCTTCCCGGATTGGTGCGTGGCGTAGACGTCCGCCTACCATGATCATCCCGTCGTGCAGATACGGGTCCAGCCGTGCGAGAGGACTGGTGAGTCCGACGGCGCCCTTCCCTTCCAGCGAGGCCAAATCAGCGGCAAACTCACTTCTTTGAATCCTTGTGACTATTGCCCTCTCAGCTGCTTCAAGTTCTGGCACAGTAAGCCGCTGTCTCTCCTGAGCCTTCGGCTCGGATCCGAGTACGGACACCTTACGGCATCGTTCTACCAAGCAGCGCTTCAGGCGAAGGATCCATGCTACAGCGCGCACGAGTCTGTACCAGACAGAGTAGTGAGAAAACAGCTCCTCCAACGGGTCGCAGCCAGCGCGCGCGACTGCAACGCTGGTGATCTTCACCTCTGGGTCGTTTTCTACTCGACGATCGAGTCCAGCCGGGGGCTCAGGCCACTCATCCCGTCCCTTCCACAAAAAGGCCGGAGCATCGAACCACCGCGGGTTCGCGATGAAGTTGTCCGCTAATTGTCCCCTCGATGCATCGTCTGCCGGGTTGTTCGCTGAGTCAACGTACCTCCATTGTGCCGGAGAAGATACGTCCCGTATCACGGCCAGACGGTTAGTGACGAACGTGTGAAAACGTGTCGTTTCGTTCTGGAGGTAGCGAAGCACTGTTGTGCTGTCCGTCCAGAACACACTTTCATCAATCTTGACTTGCAGAGCGCGTCGCAGCGTGGCTTCAATGCGAGCAGCCAGAGTGGCTGCTGTCAGCTCCGCTCGTGGGACGGTGAGCTTTCCATTCAGGGGCAGAACCCTCGCCTTGCCGAAGACGAACGCACAGTGAACTTGTCCGTCACAACAGACGATTCGAAGGTAGGACACTGTGCCGTACGCGACAGAGCTTGCATCTGCGAAGTGATGGAGCTCTCGGGTCTGAATAGGTCCAAGGCCAGCTGGCTGTACACATCTAGGGACGCCGATGGTCGAAAGTAGTGCTCTGCCGCGGATCCATTGCTCCCACTGAGCTTGAATGTCCTCCGGTGCCGGGTCGTCCCAATCGTAGCGTCGTCGTGTTAGTTCCTGTAGAATGATACGACCGCACACAACGAATGGTGCAGCCATCCCCATCGGATCGTACAATGATCCGATGACCGACAACATTCCCCTCCTCGAGCATGGCATACTCCGATCTTCCGTGGTTGAGAAGCCGATGACGTCCGGGTTGACTCGCCACTCAACCCCCAGTGTCTTCTCCAACGGAAGTTCTTTCTCGAGATTCAGTTGCTTCACGTTCTTCCCTCTGTCTTCTGGTGGGATCGATTGTAGGACTTTCCTCTGGTTACTGACAAATTTGGCTAGGTGGAATCCACCCCGGCTGCACAACTCTCGTACCTCCCTGACCAGGTCGATGGCTTCGTCGATCTTCGTCACCGACTTCACCAGGTCATCAACGTAGATGTTGCTTGCGATCGTCTCACAGGCTGCAGCAGAGTGTAGGTCGCCAAAGTCGACGGCTGTCCGTAGGAGGGCGTAGCTCGCACAGCTAGGGCTGGATCTCAGCCCGAACGGATGCACCGTCATGCGCCAGACTTCCACGTCTTCTGCAGGGTCACCGTTTCGCCACCACAGGAAGCGGAGCAGGTCGCGCTGGTCGGCTGGTACAGACACCTGATGGAACATTGAGTTGACATCGCCCATGAAAGCTACTTCTTCCTGGCGGAACCGCAGTAGAACGTCAATCAGGGGAGTGCAGAGAGACGGGCCTTGCAGGACTGCGTCATTCAAGGAGACGCCCTTGAAGGTGCTCGAACAATCAAAAACAACTCGGAGTTTGTCTTTCTTCCCGAAGACACCGTGGTGGGGAATGTAGTTGACAAGTCCATCGTCTCTTGTCAGGTCTTCTGCCCTCACTCTCTCCACGAATCCGTTCTTCGACATGTCCTTCATCACCTCGCTGTATCGGTCGGCAAACCTCTGGTCTCGGAACTTCCTTTTCAGTCCTTGTAGCCGTCTCGTGCAGATCTCTCGGTTGTCTGGTAGCATGGTTCCCTCCTTCTTCAGTGGGATGGGAACCTCGTAGTGTCCGTCCTTCATGATGCAACCAGCTTCCACTTTTTCCATCCACATATGGTCTTCGATCGACCATCCACGTTCGTCAGCTGCTAGACCCTCGTCCTGGTAGAGCTGCCTCTCCAGCAGCCTGATCCTGTTTGACGTTGCCCTTACTTCAGTCAGTTTTCTGGACCGGACGGGGCCGTTCACGACCCAGCCGAGGCGAGTTTTGACAGCGAAGGGCCCACCGTCACAGCTGGGAACGAAGTCGAGGGGTTCAAAGGCCTCTGGAACGTTCACACCGATCAGAAGGCCTACTTCTGCTTCGATCTCCTCTGGAAGCACGTCCCTTACGTGAGGCCAGGGTTCCACGTCCTCGGCCTTACAAAGCTCCGTCCTACTGACTGGGATCTTGTCGATGACGAACACTTCCGGAAGCTGCATTTGCTCGTTTTCGTCCATGTCACACATTTGGAGGTTGTCGACGGCTGAAGTATGAAGCTCGACTGGTTGTTGTGCCATCGTGGTTAGAGTAAGCTGATACTTCTTTGCTGTCGTGATGCCCAACTGGCTCAAAAGCTCCTTGCTCAGGAACGTCAGGCTACTTCCACTGTCGATAAAGGCGTACGTCTCCACGATAGGACCATCTCCATACCGCACCTTCACTGGTACCGCCGGCATCCTCGTTGACGTCCCGCTGTTGGACATGACGCTCACAACGGCTGGTGCAGGTGGCGCTTCCCCTGCCGTTGGTACTCCCATTGAGGCCACCTGGAAGACATGAAGTACAGACGGGTGCTTCCTTTCACAGACGCCACAGGTGAGTCTCATTCGACATTCCCTCGAACGGTGCCCAGGTTTCAGACACCCAAAACAGAGGCGTTATCTCTGATGAGCTGGCGTCTGGCATCGAGAGGGCGCTTCGCATACGCAGAGCAGTTCTCCAACGTATGAGCTTCATCGCAGCAGGGACAGACTGGCTTCTTCACAATCTCTCTTCTCTCGCTCTCTTCTTGGCGAACAAAATTCACTTTGGCTTCTTTCTCTCTTTGCTTGGTGTTTCCTGTTTTCTGGAACATGTGTCTCCCAAACGCGGAATTTGATGCCACTCTCGCTTCGATTTCGACGAAGCGCACCAGGTCAGAGAAGCGCACGGCACGACCCTTCCGAACTGTAAGATCGTCGACCTCCCTTCTCCACCTCTCCTGTAACGCGTAGGGCAACTTTTCCAGCAGTTTTCTCAACGTCTTTGGATGGTCCAACTCGTTCAGGCCTTGCTGGAGACTTCCGACTGCGTTTTCACACGTCCGGAGCTCCAGTGCGAAGTTGTCGAGTGTCGTGACGTCATCAGCCCTCACAGTAGGCCGGTTCATCAGCTTGTTCACGAATGAATCAGCTATCTTGTCTCGCTCTCCATATCTCTTCTCGAGCAGAGACCTCGCTGTTTGGTAGCCTCCAGTGGCCATGTTCATGCAACTTCGGACGATGTCGCGTGGCACTCCGCTTGTAAACTGTTCCAGATAGAACAATTTACTGTCGTCTTCCTGGACAATGTGTGCAACTCTGTTGTCAAAGGCTCGGAGGAACTGGGTGAATCTAGTCACATCTCCAGAGAATACTGGGATATCAGGTCTTGGGAGCAGGCTGGCGGTCAGAAGTTTCTTGATTACCCCCTGCTCTCCATCATGCTGAGGTTGAGGGGGCTGAGCTCTGGTTGGTACGGGTTGAGGGTTTAGCTCAGCAGCGCCATTCGATCGGGGCTGCTGTTTCTTCAACTTGTGTGCCACACCAGAATGGGAGCTTGCTTGGCTTGCCATCGCAAATGCCTCCTCCTTGGCCTCTGCTTCTGCAATCTCCTCTTGAAGTTTGAGTTCTTCTCGTTTCATCTCCAGCTCTCTCTCTTGGGCTTCCAGACGATGCTTTTCCTTCAGGAATCGAAGCCTCACTTCTGCAGCAGCACGTTTGGCAGACTCTTGTGCACGTAGGGATCGCATAGAGCCCCCTGAGCACCTCGATCCACATGCAACTGAATGTTCCACTTGGGGTCCAGCTGCCAGCTGTGAGGCGCTATCACCAACCTCTGATACATCTTGAACGTCTCCATCTGGTGGCTTGGTTCTCACGTGTGAGGCACCATCTTCAGCCCCCTCCACGGTAACTGCCCGCAGCTCACCAGCAGTTTTTGGGTCAGTTGCCATTTCAAAGGCTTCTTCCTTGAGGACCAGGTTCAACCTTTCTTTCAGAACTTCCTTTGATCCTCTTGTATCTTGTCCTCTCTTTTCAAGCTCATCCCTGAGCTCTTGCACTTTGAGCCGCTCAACATTCAGGTCCATGTTCAATGAGATTAAGGAGACAAGTTGAAGACCAAGCAAAATGAAGATCAATGGGTGACACGCCTTCGATCTCTGAGAGCTCATGGATTATCAATGTGCAAGTTAAACAACCATGAAAGTAGACTAAATAGGTTCAGCGTGGCCAGCTTCAGGAATGTGTCAGGAATCCGAAGCTATCAGTGAGTGCCCTTAATCAATCAGTTCTGTTCTTGCTTAGCAACCTATAGCGAATGTATCCAGACTTTAACTATCAAATTCAAAGCAATCTTCTGAAGCCTGGTGGTGTGAGGTCCAACTTCAATACGAGGTCGACGTAACAAGATAATAGTAACAAATGGACGATCAAGATATTTGTCCTGGACAGGAATGATGTCACTCGTCCAATGGCCAATGTGATAACAGTCAAGGGTTCCCCAAAGTTGGAAACTACGTTCAATGCTATCACACCAGTACCCAATAGCAAGTTCAAGGTTCGAATCCTGCCCAACAATCAACGGCAACAGGCATAAACAGTAACACAAGTCAACGTCAATACATTTACAGATGCACTTCTCGTGTCGCTGATTTACTCAATCATGTGCGTAGTGATAGCACACCCCCTAGCACAGTTCAGTTGCAAAAGCTCTAGAGTTCAGAGTTCAACCTTAGCACCATACCCACTGCTCACTGTTCTCCGAGCGGGTGCAGTGCCAGCCGCCAGGATGCAGATCTGCTCGTCCACGTCCAGATGTGCAGCAGTGGCAGCAGCGGTGTGTGGCAGCTGTAGCTGTAGTGGCTCGTGTGCAGAAGAACTCTCCAGAAGCCAGGAGGGAGCAGAGGTGCAGCCGACTCAGAGGTCAAGTCGAAACTGTAGCCGCCTGAACACCCAGACGATGGTTGTCGGAACTGGTTCTTGTATTGTACCGTTTCTGCAAGCGAAAATATGGCTCACAATCGACACACAGGCCACATACACAGAAGTTCTTGCGGCCACCATCATCTATTATCGTGTACACCAGCGTCACTATCGTAACACATCTATCAAATAGACGCTCAATTTACCAACACGAGCATTTATCAATGAATATCTTACCGACTGTCGCGTTTCGTCGGGCCTGCTCGCCTCCCACTACTCCGACAAGGGCAACCGCCTATATTAAGGCGAATCAAAAGACAAACAAGTTCTTCATCACGGCCCGTGACCGATCTTGGACCAAAATGCCTGCACTCGCCCCGCTCGCCAACATGCAGGGACGGCGCCACGGATTTTGCCTTGCGGGGGCAGGTTTTCAGAAAAAGGGCCCAAACAAGATGGGGGCCAAACTTTCCGAAATATCGTCAATACCGTCAATACTATGCAAGCCTTTATTTGTACATTGACCTACCATTCCCACAACCGTTGCCTTCTACACAATAACTTTTGTGTTAAAAGACACACTCTTAACCCTCGCCCGTATTGGTGTTTTTCTAGCCACGAACGTATGGGCGGGAGTCCGTTGCCCCCTTGCCGTTTCGCCCATGACCTTCGCAGAAAAAAACGAGCGTGCTGCTCGTGACGAAAGGAAGCCGATGATACCCAATTTTAAGGTCCTTGGTCATCGGGTAACCTTCCAGGTCAGGCCAATGACCCAAAAGTCGGGAAAATCGGGACATGTTAGAACGTCGCAAAGGATGGCTGCTATGGTTTTTTCGAGGTGATGATCACGAATATCATGTAAGTGATGAACCTAGACGATATCTTCATGCATTTAGGCCAGGTCGGGTCAGGTCAAGTCAGGTCAACCAGTAAGGGTTTTGCCGCGTATTCGTAGTAGGTGGCAACCGCCTCTGACAGCTTCGTAACATGTTACGAAAGCACCAAAATTACTTCGTAAATGTTCAAATGGCTGCTAAATTTGAATTCAGCTCCAAAAACTAGCCTATAAACATGTAAAACTGGAACAAAGTGAACCGAGGTCATCAAAGGTCAATGAGCTGACCTGACCTTCCGGTGACCTTGTCACCCACCCTAATTCATGGAAGCAGCATCATATCCCATGTTTGAACGCTTGAAACCACGAAAAGACTGCAAACGCGCGGCTCATGCGAGCCGACATACGCTGAATCGCGATTCCGGCCAAACATGGTCTAAAAAAGTAGGTCACAGGTCAAAGGTCATTAGGGTCAGGGTCATTAAATCTTTAGGATAGGTGTAAAATTGATCAACGCGACGGTATTGAAAGTTCCGTCTCGATCAGCCGCTCTTTACGCGAGTTATTCGCGAAAAACCGAGGGGGTCCGTTCGACAACAGGCAAGACATTGTTCGTGTGGTAACATGAATAGGTAACCTTTTTTTGGAAGCTGTTTACTATCCTGACCAACGAATTCCACTAAACAACCTGAATCAGCCTGAGCAGCCAAAGTTCTGAACAAAAGCGTGTTTTCAATACTCGAGTTTATCATGCCCCGCCTCCCGGCTGGAAAGTGACTCGGACGGACAGAGTGGCTCAAACAGGAGCTCGGCTCGACAGGGCCGGCCCAAAAACACCGTTACACACATGACACAGGAGCGGCGCCTGGGGTAATGCGATTAGGTTGACCTTAAGGCCCTCGCATGAGTGGTATGGGCCCTCTCAAGTATGGTACGGTTGACCCCGAAGGTTGACCGGCGGCCAGGGTTTAGTCCGGCGTACTCGCGGGCGATTTCGATATCATAGGGACCCTATGAGGCCTAATTTCTATGTTCCCCCGAGACTGGATATGGGCCCTCTGAGGTCTTGAATGGGCATTCAGAGACCTGTTACGCCCCATTAGGCCTAGTATGGACATTCTGAAGCCTGGTATAGGCACTTTGTGGCCTGGTCCCCATTAAGTCTATTATGAACCTTCTAAGGCCTAGTAGAGGCCTCAGAGACCTGGCTTGGCCCCTTGAGACCTGATATGATCCTTCTGAAGCCTAGTTGGGGCCCCTGAGGCCTGGTATGGGCCTTCTGAAGTTCGGTAGATCCTCAGTTTGGCATGGCCATTGGAGCCCGGTAAAGGCCCTTTTTTGACTGGTAGGGACCCTCAGAGGCTTGATATGGGCCTTTTTTATACTACTAGGGGGCTTCTGAGGCCTGCTATGTACTCCCTCTCAGACATTCTAAGGACCTCACCAGACCTTTTAATGACCCTCTCAGTACTGCTGCACTCTGCAGGCCCTCGCATGAGTGGTATGGGCCCTCTCAGGTATGGTGCGGGCCCTCCCATGTCATTGCAACAGTCCTCTCAGTACTGCTGGGGGCCCTTCCATGATTGCCATTGACTGACATAACCCTCAGTAATATGTCAAGGTACGGGCCCTCACATTACTTGCGATGGCCCCCTCAGTACTGTTATGGGCCCCCTCAGTACTGATATGGGCCCTGTCACGGCTGGTATGGGCCCTCTCAGGCATTTTACAGGCTCTCGCACTCCTTCCAAGGGCCATCTGAGCACCGCTGCGGGCCCTGTCATGACTGGTATGGGCCCTCTCCTTCTCAGACATAATATGGTACTTACCTCCCAGACCTTGCCTGGGCCCTTTCATATATTGAATGGGCCCTCTCAGACGTGGCATGGGCCCTCTTTGGCCCGGGCCCTTTCTACAGCCTGGGAAGATAGGACAGGGCCACAATCACCCAAGATACAAAATAAATGATTTTCTTTCACTTTTTTGTGCTTAATTGGGCCCTTTTCCAAAAACATGGGCCAAAGCCCGTAAGTTTTATCTTGGCGGCGGCACCTTGAGAAGGCCCCTTTTGGCTTAATTCCCCACTCCTGAAGTCATTTCTACAGCTCTGCCCAGAAGTCTTCTTTCTGCACAGTCAGAGAGTATTCCGCCCATACCTGACCTGCTGGCTGAAAGAGGGCCCCAGTGTTCAGAGTTGGGGGGCGGCTGCCCCCTCTGCCCCCCCTGTGGCGCCGTCCCTGCCAACATGACAGCCAATAGAGCGCGGCGGCGCCGCTGGATCTACGCAAAACAAATACCAGTACTTCGAAACATGAACAAAGCTTGACGAATCACGCGCTATTGGTATTACAAATAAGGCTCAAAGGCCCAAAGTTCGCAAAATCATAGGCATAGAGTATCAGATACCCACAAAAGAAAAGAAACAAACATTGAAGCCTCAGAGTACTTAGCTCATCCCCGGCACAAGCCCCCCGCCCACCTCTAGGGCGCGGCCGGCGATCAGCTGATCGGCAAGGTCAGCCACCGGCCCAAGGGGGGAGGAGGGATGCGCCGGGGAGGGGAGGGCCGGCCGCCCGCAGGAACAGGCTACTAAACCGCATGGCGCCTACAGTGAGTGTCCGGTTGTGGTCGGCTCCACCTGTGAGAGGGTCGCTGCTGACGCCGCCGTCTCGGGTCTCCGTCGAGCCAGCGGCGCCGACTGCCGCGGAAGCACCCCGCCGGGGCTGGCGTGACGCCGCGCGCGTCACGTCACGAAGGCACCGCCACTTCCGGCGCGCTCCGTGAGCGCGACAGACTGTGGCGGAGGAGGTGCGGGTGGGGACGGGGAGAGGAGAGCTAAATTTAGCCACCGGCGCGGCGGTCCACTGACCTTTTGTGGTGGTCGAGGAAATAGCGCGCTGGCTGGAGACTCCTTTTGTCAGCGAGCTTCCATATCGGCAGCTTGGCGCCGAGCGGTGGTCTCTTCAGTGTTAGCTGAGGTGTTGAGCTGAGTTGTAGTGTGTTGTGATCGGGTGAGCTGGGTGCCAGCTGAACTACTCTGTCCGCGCCGTCCGTCGCTCGGTGCGCCGGTTCCGCCGCAGTGTGATCGCTGCCACGTCAGCTGACCGCGCGCCGCGTGACTGCTAAGCCCCCTGCGCCTCTGCGCCGCGGCGTGCATATCATTTTCGGCGAAAGGCGCGCTCGCAGCGCCGGCCGGCCGTCCAGCCCTTGAAGGTGTGTCCTGCCGACGGAGCACAAAGCCGGCTAATTGTGTGGAGCTGAGCCGGCCAGCCGCCCGCTAATCACACAACCTGCTCCGGCGCCGATGGAGCGAGCGACAACGGCGCCAGTGAGCCGCCCGTGCTCGACACGGGGCGCCACGAGGAGCCACGAGGCGTCCGTACCGCCCGTGCTGCCCTGAGCTCAGTTACGACACCAAACGCTAACGCTGATGTTTGGAGTCTCATCTACTCCTCCCAGGCTACGACTTTGAATCTCTTCGGCTCTCCAGCGCCACTCAGGCTGGTCCAATAGCCAGCCTAGGCTCCATTCATCGAGCGAGCGTGGCCTTGGTGGCTCAAAATCCGCTCTAATCGTTCTTCTAGTTAATGGCAGAGACGGTGGACCTGACAGCAGTTGGGAACTGCTGTGCTATTTACCTAGCTCTACCTGTCTACCTGGTTCTACCTACCTACCTGTCTTCGGACAGCTCGGCACACCCGAAGCTACTGTACTACCGTTTCATTGTTTGGTGAACCAAGCACGGTGTGCATGCATCCGAGTACGCGCCGGGCACTGGGTGTGTGGTTTTTGTTTCATCATCCTCATGGCATGGTCTCAGCTGGATTTTATTCCATGCACAGGTATTATGCGAATTAAGCGCCGGTACCGTTAATGATTCTGGTTAACCATAGAACGTAAGCAGGACTTAACGACATACTTTTTCACTTCCAGTTGTGGTATTCTGTGAGCTCGGCTCCGTCCCGTCTGTGCCGGTAGGATCTGCGGCGGTCTGTGCTCTGAGGCGCGCCGTGCCTGCCTTATGCCTAGTCCGGCGGGCAGACCGGCGCGGCGGCCTGGCGGGCCAGGTGGCCGCTGGGACGGCTCTCGTGCGGCGCGCCGCCTTGAACTGTTCCGCACGTCATGGTCGATCCGGTCCGATTATGGTGTTGATTATTCCTGTCCGGGAGAGGCTGGGGCTCTGAGACGGGCTCTGCCGAGAGTAGGTGATGATTCAGTCTGACACAGCCTGACACACCGGACACAGGTGTCACAGATGACACGGTCTGACCCTTCCCAGTAACTGACACAGACTGACTCGACCTGATGGGGTGATACAGTCCGTCCCTGGCGGTGATGGGCGGGTGAGTGATGGGTGGAGAGGGTGTAGGACGTAGGTTGACACGTACTGACCTCGTGATCGCTTTACTGAAAGGGGCTGAAAGGGCAAAAGGCTGTTGCAGATTCTATGAAGGAGAACTGAAATTGATAATCAGCGTCACAACTGTCATCTGTGATGTCTCATAGCTTGGCGAAGGAGGTCTTCAGCGTTTGCATTTACGCCAAGCGATTTACCGTCGCCATGGCCACGTTCTCCTAACGGTGCCTCTTCTCTGCCGCGTTTCACTGCCATGTGCTCATTCAACGGCTGGTCGCTAGCACCACTCGGGACGCCGATTCTGACGGCTCGTTTGGCCATAATCGGCGCGAAGAGCTGTCGAACGGCCGTCCCGCAGCCGTTCGAGGCGCTCTCAGTGGGACGTCCGAACTACGGCCTTCACCCCGCCCCTTTGGCGCCGTCTATTTCGGGCTGGTGTTCGCTCTGCATGACCCTGAACCGCACTGGGCCAGTTGCACTGCTTGCTATTGTTGCGGTGAGCAGAGCGTGCATGTCAGGGATCCGTTTTGACTTTCGAGTGGGCTGTTTTGAAATGTGTTTCTGTTCTCAAGCAGTTTGCAAATGCGTCCCTTGTTTCTCGATTTGACTCGTTTCACTCAACGTGAGCCATCCGGATGTGAATGCCATCTTACGGTCACTGACGTGGGTGTGAATGCCGAGTGTATTTGAGTTTTGAGTTTTGTGAGTTCAGCTGGGATTTGAGTTTAATCCCTTCCCCGTTACGCTCCCCTCCACCCATTGCACCGCCCGTGGCGCCGTCTCCCTCTATCACCCGATTAGAAAGCGGCGGCCTAGCAGAACTAATAGGTCGCCCGCTCAGCCCGGAAACGTGCGTGCAACGGCCGCCGGTCTCTTCCTCCCCGCCCCCGCCCCCGCCCCCGCCCCCGCCCCCGCCGCGGTTCGATCAGCGCTGGTGCGCGACTGATGTGCTGCCGGTCAGCAGCGGACTGCTCGTCCCATAGTTACTGACCATACTGAGTGTTGATGAACCCCGCTACCTAATATGTACACGTGCCAGTGTTTAGACGAATGAGGCCTTGTGTAATGTGTATGTATACTTTCATCAGATTTTCCGACTTGTTGGCTGTTGCATGATTAATTCACAGCTTTCATTAGAGATTGGTTGAAAGTTGTACAATGCTTATTCGTCGTCAATATCCCTCTTTCGTGTAAGTTTGAATTCACAACTGTGTAGCGTTTGCTAGAGCTACTTTTGAGAAGTATGCGTGGTATGGGAAGTTTAAAATTGCGGGAACATACCTACCGTGACTTACTGTTAACTGGAGCGGTCTGGCTCCAAATGGCTGCCGGAGCTGTCGGGAGGGCCAGCCTCACCGCAAACGAGTGTCGTTAGTCGGCAGTAACAAGGCCGACCGCTGGGAGCGGGCTGTCGTCACGGCGGCCGCCGCAGCGGCCATCCATCGCCGCCGCCGCGGCCGTTCACTCTCCCACCGCTGACTGGTGCTCTGATCCTCGTTACAGACGACGATGCCGGCCGGTCCGCTGCCCTAGCGACGTCAGCGCGTCATGAGTGCGCCCGAGGCCGCCCAGAGCGGCCCTGTCGGCGCCGACAGCTCGGAGAGCGGCCCGCGGACAGCGTCCCCGCCGGCGGAGGAGCGGGTCGCCGGGCCGGCCGAGCGCGATGAGCCCGCCGCGCCGACCCCGTTCACCGGTCGGATCGTCCACAACCGGGACGGCTCGCTGGTCCTCGTCGCCGCCGACGTACCATGGGTGTCGGAACCAGACAGTATCGTCGACGACGGCAGCAGTCGAGCGCCGAGCGCGGGCACCCCTCCGCCGATCCGGTCCGTGCTGTTCATCCGGCGACGGCGGCCGGCGCGCGACGGCCGGACGGAAGCCGGGGCTCCTCCGGGGCTGATAGTGGACCGATACAGAGTGTGGGACGCGGACGGCGGCGGTGGCGGCGCGGACGCGGCGTGCGCGGCCGACAGCGCGCCGGAAGTGAGCTCGAGTGCGCCCGGACGGACCCACATCACGTGCTGTGTGTGTCGGCTGTGTTTCGGCGCGGCTACGGCGTTCGCGGCGCATTGTGTGAGTGCGCACGGCGTGGCGCTAGACGGCGCTCGGCTCCAGTTCCTCGGACGGCCGGACGCGGCGGCTGTGCTGGTAGCGGCCGGTGCGGAGCGGAGTCCGGCCGTATCTCTGCTCCGCTTCAGCCCGTGTCCGTCTGACGGGGCGGCGGACGGTGCAGAGCCGTCGGCCACCGCCGAGCGAGGAAAAGGTAGTGAATGTGACATGCGATCCCGTCACCAGGACGGTCCCAGTGACGCTGCCGGGGTCGACGCGTCGGTCGGCTCGTCGGGAGACGGTGCAGACGCTGCCGCAGTCGAGGAGGGCGCGGAGTCCTCTGACGCGGTCACGTCGTCGGTGACAGTGTCGGACGCCGCGCCGTCCCAGTCTGACGTCGCTCGACCTCTGGCAGCCAGCTCTCCGGCAGCCAGCTCCACTCTGAAGACGCTAAAGTGTCCGCGCTGCAACTGGAACTTCAAGTACCGCGATACATTGGAGGCTCATTTGCAGGAGAAACACCCCGACAGCGGCAGCGCGTGCGGCTTCTGCCTCTCGGGTCAGCCGCACCCGCGGCTCTCGCGGGGAGAAGTGCACGACTGTGGATACAAACCCTACCGGTGCGACGTCTGTCACTACGCCACCACCACCAAGGGCAACCTCAGCATCCACATGCAGTCGGACAAACACCTGAACAATGTACAGGAGCGACATCGAGTGATGCACGGTCTTGGTACCATCCCGGGGCACAAAACAAAGGAGGGTGACGTGGACCTGCCTTCGAGAGGGCTCAAAGAGGAACGTGATGAAGCAGACGAAAAGTCGAACCTCAGGAGCGCAGTCGAGGCGAACTTTGTGCAGGCCAGGCTAAGGATGTTGTCTGATGCAGCCGCGATTCGTGCTATGGGTGATGTAGGGACGACTCTGGCGGACAGGATCGCCATGTGGTTCGCTAAGCAGTCGAGTATATCGAACCAAGATGGAAAGTCCAACTGCTCAGTGACGCAGGGTAGGACCTCGGCTGATGAAGCGCCCAGTCCTCATGAGCATTTGAACCCCCGGAACATTTTCACGTGCTGCACATGCACCGTATTCTCGACCGACTCTCTGGAGGAGCTGGAGCAGCACATGCGGCGTGAGCGGGGCAGTGCGCGCGGCGGCGACTTCACCGTTGCCGAGGCCGGTCTTCAGCTGTGCCTGCTGTGTTCGTACCGTACGCACCTGCGCGCCAACTTCCTGCTCCACTGCCAGTCGGACAAGCACGTGCAGAAGCAGCATCACCTGCTGCACATCCTGGAGGGTGGTGCGGGAAACCTGTGGCAGCTGACCTACCTGCACGCCGGTGGTCCTGCGACCATCCGCTGCAACCTGTGCGAGGTGTCGGCTGGTGTCGGTGTCCAGCTGCGCGTGCACGCGGCGGAGGGGCGTCACCAGGCCAACTGCGCGCTCTGGGCGCACCTCCGTTCTGAGGGGCGTCAGGTGCCCGCCGTTCGGAGACGCTACGCATGCACACTGTGCGGGTACAGCACGCGCCACATAGTTCTGCTGCTGCGGCACGCTGCCAGCCTGTCGCACCTCGGCATGGAGCGACGGCGGCTGGCTGGCGGCCTCGAACAGAGCGGCCTCTGCTTCTCCGTCCGTGATGCTGGATCAGATGCAGGTCAGTGAGTGGTGCTTGGCGGGAATTGTGGGGTTTATATGCTCAATTTGTATTTACATATCTCTTCGGCAGTATTTCGCGCAGCTGAGGAAATGGACTGATTGGCGTAATTAAATGCAGCAAGTGTTCAGTAGCATGCTCCTACATCAATGTTTGCATCATTTTCTTGATCTGTGTCTTGATTCCATTTCCTTTCTCTGTTACAGATGCTGACCCAGACGAAATGTTGGAGTCCACTAAAGGTCAGTCGGAGCTTCGACAGATGGACGGTCTTGGACTGCAGACCAACGGTGACGCCGGATCCCATTTCGACGGGCCTGACCTGGACATCGCTCGGCTGCGTCAGCTGGACCCGGACATCGCGGATGACCAGCCTCAGGTTACGTGCAACGGACTGGGAAAGGTCAAACAAGAGCCGGGCACACCTCACGAGCACCATCGTAGTAAGTTGAAAGACCATTGTGACGCGGAGAAAACTGTCGGTGAAAGGGAATGTAATAAGGTACATCAGGAACCGAAAAGCGGCTCAGTCACAACAAAAAGCGACAAAGTAGCCGGGGCTCCTCTAATCCAAAGCATTAAGTCTGAAAACACAGATAAAACTGGGGATGAAGCTGCCGACCAGAATGATAACATTAGCTCGGCCGAAGACACCAGTCGACCCTACAAGTGTCACGCGTGCAACGTCTCCTACGGCCACCCGCAGATTCTCAGCATTCATCTTCAGTCGGCCTTGCATCAAGCACGCGTCTCTGGGGTGAGCTCGCGAACCTCTGAGACTGAGACGCATCATCAGATCAGGTCAACGCGAGACTTTGAGTCGTTGCTAGGCACGATCAAACAAAAAGCTGATGTAGTGAATGGGGGTCATACGACGAGTGTCGTTTCGAAAGCTGATGACTTGAGAAGCACGCCAGTGGGTGTGCCATTAGGCAAGAATAGCGAGGTAACGATTGTGGCTGTCAGGAAGGCGGTCGGTGATCACAACCGGACTGTGAAGCCAGACGAGAAGGGCAATGACGTCGACCGCTCTGTTTCACAATCAAAGTACGTCATCAGTGTCAGCAAACCTTCTCCGATCGGGCGAGAAGCATTGGCGATAAAAGATCGGCTGCTTGAGTCGTACGGACTTGAGCTAGCCATGCACCACTGTGAAGTACGTCGGAAAAGACGAAAAATGGATGATGCATCAGGAAATGATGGGCCTGAGAAAAAGATGAGGCATAAGTCAGCACCGGAGACCTCAAGCGCTGGTTCTTATGTGTGTCCTCTTTGTCAGAAATGCTTCTCGGGTTTGTGGATCTTCAAGCTGCATGTTGAAGAAATTCATCACAAGTACGTGCCCAGAGAGTTGCTCGAGGAACACATAGAGGCGTTATCGATAGAGCTACACAAAAGGCACAAACGGAACCCAAAAACTGTTCGCAATGAGTCTGAGTCCGCACCTGTTGAACCTGATCGCATGTCTCAATCTGGACGCCAGGCGTCTAGTCGGGAATCGTCTCACGCAACCCCCGTTGCAAGCAGGGACGACAAGGCGAGAACATCATCAAACGCGGAGAAGAGTCGTGCCTCTTCGCCGCCTCCAGAGGTGCCTCAGCCTCCGATGCCGGACCTTCAAACGGCTCTCAGTCTGATCCAGGCAGCCCACATCCGCTACCAGATGCAGCAGTTGAACCCGCTGCTCGCCTCCCAGATGGCAGCGCTCGGCTCTCCGCTGTCGGCGTTCGGGCTCGGTGACGCTAGCGCACAGTCCCAGCAGCTGATGTCGCTGATGGCCGCGCAGCAGCTGCTGAACCCGAGCGTTCTGTGGGCAGCGCAGGCGCAAGCCATGGCACAGCAGCAGCAGCAGCAGCAGCAGGCTCAGGTGCAGGCGCCGTCTTCTGTCGAGTCAAAGACAGCGGACGGCAAGCGGCCGGCTGACTCCTCGATCCCGGCGGGCAGCGATGAAAAGCGAGCTCGTACGCGCATCAGCGGACACCAGCTGAAGATGCTACGAGCGCATTTCGACGTGGAACGAACGCCATCAGACGAGACCATCCGGGAACTGGGGGAACAGTGTGGTTTGGCCCCCAAGGTGGTGAAGCACTGGTTCCGGAATACGCTGTTCAAGGAACGGCAGAGGGATAAGGATTCGCCGTACAATTTCAGTGTGCCTCCTGGAGCGCCGCTTGAACTATCACGACAGGGTCTGCCCGATCTGTCAATGCTTCAAGCTGACCTTTTGCGAAGAAACTCGGCCTTGATGAGCATGGTTGATGGTAGCGGTAGAGAAAGTAGACCAGAGAAGGATGACACGAGAGAAGACCCACAACATGTGGTACCAAAGACAACCGAACCTGATGACACCGTAGCAGTCGATCTGTCGAACCGAACACCATACCGGCCTCACCAACCATCACTGATCGGCGACTTGAACCACAGCCACACCTCGTCTCTGCCGGGTTCCTCTTCACCGCCGCCGGCGCACAACGGCGGTCGGCCTCCCGGTGCGAGACCAATGAGCGCGTTCCCGACTGGCTCCGGCTGGGGCGCGCCGGTGACGAGGGAGTTCGGAGAGCTGTCCATCACACTGCCGAGCCGCTCACCGTTCCAGCAGTCCCCGTCACCAGGCAGCAGCTCGTCCAATGCGTACGGTTCCCCGATGTGGTCCGAAATCAGTCCACCCGAGGGACAGAAGTGCAGCAGCAGGCGCGCTAACCGGACTCGCTTCACAGATCAGCAAGTGAAGGTGCTGCAGGACTTCTTCGAGAAGAACGCCTACCCGAAGGAGGAGGATTTGCGTCACCTCTCGAAAGTGCTCAACCTAGGACCGCGCGTAATCGTCGTCTGGTTCCAGAACGCGCGACAGAAGGTGCGCAAGGTGTTCGAGAACCAGCCACCGCCACCTGAGCGAGAGGAGAAGTCGAGTCGCTTCCAGCGAACTGCCGAGCTCAACTACCAGTGTAACCGGTGTAAGGTGGTCTACCAGCGCTACCAGGAGCTGATCCGACACCAGCGGCAGCAATGCTATAGGGAAGAGTCCGCCCGACAACGCGGCAAGTCCCAAGAGCCGCGCTCTGAGGTCGGCGCGGGAGCAGCCCCCGCTCTGGAGGTCAAACCCACTCCGGAGGACAACACCTACAAGTGCGGCAAGTGTCCCCAGGAGTTTGACCGTTTCGACCGGTGGCGGGAGCACCAGGTGGTGCACGTGATGAACCCGAGCGTGGTGCCGAGCTCTCGCCAGAACCAGCGTTCGGGCAGCCCGGCCGGCTCTCCGTCGGCGCGGCCCTCTCACTCAGCCGAGGAGGCGTCTGACGAGGAGACGGACGACACTACCGGCTGGGACCGTCACTCGCAGGACCGCCGTCTGCGCACCTCCATCAACCCGGAGCAGCTGCAGGTCCTCCAGCGCACCTACAAGCTGAACTCAACGCCGAGCAGGGAGACCCTGGAAATGGTCGCTCGCGGTACGGGGCTGAAGAAGCGCGTGGTGCAGGTTTGGTTCCAGAACGCTCGGGCACGAGAACGCAAGAGTCAGGCTGTCAGACAGTTGCCGGTGCCGGTTACGTTCTCAGGCCCGACGGAGACGGTGGTGAAGACCAAGGTGACCGAGCCGAAGCTGGGACCAGAGGTGTCTGTGGAGCTGGTGAAAACGTACTCCAAGATGCTTCCCAGTGCCGTGGCCTCCCGGCAGAGCGACGTCCGTGACGTGGATTCGTCTTTTGCTGGATTCAGCGCCCTCAGACATCCTGTGCTGGAGGCGCGGCTACAAGCGGCTCCCTCGCAGGTCCCTGACGCGCCGCTGGATCTCAGCAAGTCACAAACGCCGTCACATCCAGCCGCGAGCAGCCTCGCAGCCATCAAACCCGCTCATCGCATGGTTCCTCCAGCCGTCCGCCGCGACATTCCTCAGCTGAACGCGCTGCCCCTGATGCCACCTCGGGAGGGTCTGCCGTGGCAGAGCCGGCCCGCGGCTGACCTCTCCAGCTCCGTGGCGCCGCCGCCGAATCCGTCCACCGCGGCGGCGGCTGCCGCTGGCGCTGCCGGCGCGGCCCGGTCGCCGTTCGCGGTGGCCAACAAGCGGTTCCGAACACAGATGTCGCCGGGCCAGGTGAGCGTGCTTCGCAGCGTGTTCGCCGCCTACCGGATGCCGACGATGGCCGAGTGCGCGCGGCTAGGAGCCGAGATCGGACTAGCCAAACGCGTCGTCCAGGTGTGGTTCCAGAACTCGCGGGCCAAGGAGAAGAAGCGCCAGCTGCAGAGCGGCCGGCCGCCAACACCGCCGCCGCAGGGCTGTGACCTCTGCCACGTCACCTACGGCGTAAAGTGCTCCCTGCAGGAGCACCTGCTGAGCCGAGCGCACATCGAGCGGGTGCAGCGTGAGGCGGAGAGGGCGCGTGCCGCGCCGGCCGGAGCCGCGGCCTCCTCCAGCTGCGCGCCGGCTGTACCGCGCAGCTCGGCAGTAGCAGCTGCAGCGTCCGCCGTCCGCCCGGGATCGACCCAGCCTGTCAAAGGTGAGTGTCACCGGGGCTGCTTCCTTTGTTGGCTCTTGGGCTAATTCTATATATCCAAACCTATTCCCCATGTTATCATACATTTAATTGCAACGTTTATTCGTCCTTTGTCACGGAACAAACTCAGGTAGGTATAGAAGCTTGTTGCAGAAGTGACGTTCCTTTTTTGGGTAGCAGCTGATACGTGAACCTTTCTCATCGAAGCCGGTCAATAGCAAGGTCCCACTGAGCCCCCTGTGTCGAATGAACTGAGACAGCTAGCCCGGCCTGAGGCCGTAGGCATCCGGACCGGGTCCCCTCCCGTGGGCACCCGGTAGTCGGTTATTAATGTGCCGGACGTGTCTGTGTATTTATCATCGTTGAAAAACACATGGGTATGATGAATGGTGCTATCAAATGTGCCCTGCCGACATGCCCGACTAGCGGATCAACAAACGGACACAGCGGCGGACAGAGTGGTGGTCAGCGCTGTCCGATGTGGACCCAGGGGCGTAGGCAGGGGGGGGGCCACTGGGCCATGGCCCCCCCCCTTGGGCGCCGAAGGCGCCCTTTGCGATTGGAGGGCGCCGAAGGCGCCCTCCAATCGCAAATGCAATTATGATATAATCGAATCGAAAAACAATCGCGACTGGAGGGCGCCCTCCAATCGCGAATGTGTTTACAGGGAAAATACGGATGGAGGGCGCCCTCGGAGGACGCCCATTCCAAATACGCCCTCCAAATACGGTTGGAGGGCTCCCTCGGGCGCCCTCCAACCACATTTGTAGGCTGTAGCTCTCTAAGCGTAACGGTGGTCGCCTATGTAAGCCGCTGTCCCGTAAATAAGCGCCCTCTCACCCGAAGGCGCCCTCCTGTAGGTCGCCACCCTGCTACATATTGCCGCCCTTCTGCTGATCGGCGTCCTCATAATTATTGGCGCTCTCCTACCTATTGCGCCCTCATGTGAAATTTTCAAGGCCGCCTTTCTCCTTTTTGGCACCCTATTGTTCAGTGCCGCCCTCCTACCTATTGGTTCCCTAGTCCTTCCTGTTGAATGTTAATCGGGGCCCTTCTCTTATTGGCGCCCTCGTGTTGATCGCCGCCCTCCTAACCACTGGCACCCTCCTGTTGATCACCGCCCTCCTATCCACTGGTACCTTCCTGTTGACCAGCGCCCTCCGCACAGACGCCCTCCTGTTCGTGTCATCCTCTTGAGCAAAGGCGCCCTCCTCACCATTGCCACCCCCATTTTAATCGTCACCCTTCCGCTCATTAACGACTTCCAGTTGATGACCGCCCTCCCACCTATTGGCGACCTCTTGTTGATCGCCACCCTCCTATTGGTGCTCTCCTGTTCCTCGCCACCCTCTTACCTGGTGGCGCCCTCCTGTTGATTGTTGATCGGGGCCCTCCTACCTATTGGTGCCCTCCTGTTGATCGCTGCCCTTCTATCCATTGGCGCCCTCCTGCTGCTCGCCAACTTCCTACCTATCGGTGCCCTACTATCGAAACTCGGGATGTTGATCGGGGCTCTCCTACCTATTAGCGCCCTCCTGTGGATCGCAGCCCTTCTACCTATTGGCAACATCCGTTGATCGCTGCCCTCTTATCATTTATTTACTCCTTTGGCATGTTTTTCAACTTAGTCGTTCTATTGCACATAGTTGATGTCTTGCCTGTGAAAACTGCCACAAATGAACGTGCATTCAGCACAATGAATGAAGTACCTATACCTACCAAAACTATCTACGCTCTACGATGCATAAAACACGTCTTTGGTCTTAACGGATTGATCCTACTTTACGTGCATCATGGCATCTATATGGATTACGATTAAGTATTGTCAACAGGTTCGGCCGCAACAGCAGGCATCTGAAGTTTCGGTGATTGAAACTGGTTATGTGGGTACACTGTATGCATCTGTGAGAAGGCTATGAAGGCTGGTCTGAGGTAATTTGGATGATGTTTACGCATCTCGCGCTCCGGTATCAATCCGATACGGTGATCTGGTGCGTAGATATGCCACCGCCAATAAACTTTTATACATCGACACCCATGAGCCAAGCTTTCTAAACAGTTTGTGTGGCAGCGGCCCGACCAAACCTTTGGTATTTTTTACACCTTCAAATTTGGTAAAAGAGCGAGAGGAGCTTTGAACGGTGATCGTATAAAAGGCGTGCCTAAAAAGCGGAGGAAAAGGTTGTTTTCAAAAATTTCGCGCGCCTTCGGCGCAGCATTTCAAGAACACTTGACCTTTTGTGACCTGGAGTATAAAGAATACACACGATGCAAAATCAATGCAGCACGACCTATACGAGGTTACGCAAAAAAAAAAACTGGTGGCATGGTAAAAAACGCCTCCCAACCCCCCCCCCCCACCCCGCTGAGCGATTTTTTATCTCGCGACCGTATGGCGCCCTCCTTGGGTGAGGTGGCGCCCTCCAAACCCTTGGCCCCCCCCCTTCGCGATTTTCTAAATACGCCGCTGTGTGGACCCCAGGTCCAGCGTTGTTCCGATTTGTTGTCCAAGAAATCAGCGATTTCCCATCTTTGTCATGGTCCCAGGTCTAGCGCTTATCCAATCTTTTACGTCGGGTGCACTGCGCTGCCTCACTCTGTCAGGAACTCAAGTTCAGTACAGTGCCCCGCTCTGGGGGCTCAGAACCGGGAAACCGTCATTGATATAAAGTTACGGTACCACCCAGGCAGAGATTTCGACCTTCTGGTTTGGAGTGGCTCTCACACCTACCCTGTCCTCCCGGTGTCTACGGTTGTCGGCCCCCGGGTCCCCTCCCGGCGCGGTGTGGACGCCTTCCTCTGCCGGTACAGGTGGCTACAGGTACGGCCGACCAGCTGTGTCGCTGCTGTGGTGAGGCGCGCACCACGCCGCCACCTGTTCATTTCGCCACGGCAGCATCGCGCACCTTCCCAAACAGCTGAATCAAGCCCCGGGTAAAAAGTCGTTTGAGTAACGCAAAGTGTTCCAAGGCAATGGAGCTGATGTGATTTGGTTTGTATGTTGACAAAATGTAGGTATCGTTTCCAGTGAGGTGATGTCCGTTTCAAAAGCATATACCTAAGTCTTGCTGAAGTGGGAAGCGAATCGTTCCGGTGACATAATTGACATCAAAATAATAGACGTGAAACACTTAGCTAATCATAATTTGTGTCGTACATGTTTTGCGGTAATCACTCGGTTCATTCCCATAGCGGCTCACATAATTAGCTCAATTTTGTGGTTTTAATTAAGAATCCTTGATAGACACGGCTGAGATTTTTCCAGGCTGGCGTACAATACGCGCTGTTTGCAGCACGAACATTGAATTTGTCAGTCAGCGGCTGTATGAAATTAGGCGAACTCAGTTACCTCGGTTACCTTGCGGCTCTCGGTTACCGGCTTTTTATGCCTGAAACAGACTCTTTCCGCAGTCAGGAAATCGCATGCGAAAGCCTATTCAAATACATGGAAGCACGCTCGCATCAGTCGCACGCACCTCCCGGATGCGATTGATGCGAGAAGAGTTACCTATAATGTATTTGAATAGGCTCTCGCATGTGATTTCCTGAACGCGGAAAGAGTCTGTTTCAGCCTTTAGGCATGGCGCTCAGAACTTCCTTTTTTGCAACACTCCCTTTCTCCAGCTTGCTGGTCTACAATAAGGTTTACCCACGCGTTTGAATACGGGATGAGGGCGAAGAAATGCTGTGACGGATGCCTTATCGTTCATCATAAATGCTTCAGAAACACTCACTTGAAGCTCTGTTTTCGACCGCTCCCCCTCTCGAACCGTTCACGCTGACCATCCACTTTGTAGAAATTCGTCAATGCCTTCCATCCTATCGACCACAGGCTATGTTTGCGGTTGGCGAACAGAACACGCCTGGTCCTGGATAAGGCTCGTTTAGCGGGATAGGGATGGGATGAAGAACGAGGGCACACGCTGCGTTTTTACAGTTTTTATCTGAACAGCCGCCCGACAACGTCTGGTTCTGGAGGATCGATCGGCGTAATTGTGTTGCCAGGCGGCGCCAGTCAGGGCGCCAACCCTTCTCATCTCAGTACAGAACAGGTGGAATCCAAGGTGGCCGTTTTCGTCATTCGGGTAGTGTCGCTTCTACACAGGTAAACGGGGTCAGTGCGGGGACTGACCCCGACCTCTGACCAGCGGCCTCACACCTCCGGTGGTGACGCTGGTGACTGGTGTGTGGTGACGCCTTCTTCCATGTGACGAGTTGCATCAGCTGTCAATCCCCGGTTTGGCGCTGACCAGTCAAACAGAGGGCGACGTCACTGGGGGTGTGACACGTCAGAGGTGACGTCATATGTAAATGGGCTGATGTGTTGGATTGACACGAACTGCATCAGAGGTCAGACAGTTATAGAGGTTAGAGGTCGGGTCATGACCTCTGAGGTTGAAAGGCTGGAAGAGAAGAGGTCGCTGAGGGTCAGATGTCTGGGAAGTATAGTTATCACGTCACACATGGAGCAGATGTGACGTCAGATGCCGATTGCCGGGTCTGCCGGTAGGACCTGCCAAGTGCCAAGTCGTCTCACGTGCGAGGTCGGAACTCGGACGTTCCATTGTATGGAGATGGGTCGACTCGAAGGACCCGATCGGATCGTGTCACCACTGTACCGCCGTGCGCTGAGCTGGCCCAGACTGGACTCAGACTGGCCCCAGACTGGACTCAGACTGGCCTCAGTCTGGACTCAGACTTGGCTCAGTCGGCGTCACCTCTGGAGCCATCGAGACGAGTCAAACACAAATAATCGTCGGGCTGACCTTCGGCGCCGCGACTCAAATAGCCCCGCCGCCCTTTGTATCGGTAGCGGTGGCGGCGACAGGGACTGAGGCGGTGACAGGGACGGCGGTGACTGCTTCTGCCACGTTGGAGCCGGTCCCTCCCGCCGCCGCCCGATCTCAGCTGTGTAACACTGAGAACACTGTCTCAGTTTTATACCCAGGGGACGTGTCTGTGCCGCTAACCGACATAGTGACGTCAGAGGGCAGGAATTCAGG